TATGAGATCAGTCTAGTCTAGTTTTGTTTTTAATGAAATTAAAATATTACTTCTCTAAACTATATAAAACAACAGCAAAAACAAAGCCTTAATCCCACTACGTGGAGTTAGCTACGTGAATCTTCTTCCTCCATTGCGTCCTATTTAGTGTCATATTTTTATTTCGTTATAATAAATTAAGATCATTTTTTATACAATAAGCCCAAGTCTTCTGAGGTCTACCTCTGCCTTTCTTAACATAGGTTGAATCTAAGACATCTACTCTTTTAGTCGGATCTTTAGATGGTCGATGCTTAATGTGACCAAACCATCTAAAATGAATTTCTCAAATTTTTTCTATCACAGGAGCTACACCAACCCTATCACGAATATAATTATTTTTTATTTTGTCTTTAAGTGTAAATCCACTCATCCACCTAATCATTCTCATCTCAAGAACACTTAACTTAGTCTTATGCTTCTCCTTTAAAGGCCAACGTTCAACACCATAGAGCATTTCAGGTCTCGCCATCGTCTTATAAAATTTTCAATTCAGTCTAAGCGGTACTTTTCTATCACACAAAAGGCTTGAAGCATTCTTCCACTTCAACCAACCAACTTGAATTCTATTATTAACTTCCCCATCTATATTACCATCGCTTTGAACACAGACCCGAGATATCTAAATTATTCACACCTTTTAATAATTGGATCACCCAAATTTACACTTCTGTCACTAAAGCTACTACTAATAAAATTACAATCAATGTATTCAGTTTTAGTTGTACTCAAATGAATTCCTTTAGACTCCAATGTTGACCTCCATAATTTGAGTTTTTCCTGGGCTTTTTCTGTCGCCTTATCCATGAGAAGGATACCATAAAAAAAAGTGTACACCAAGGTACATCCTCTTGTAAATGTCTAGTAAGGACATTCATTACTAAAGGAAAAAGATACGGGCTTAAAGCCGATCCCTGATGTAATCCAACAGAAATAGGAAAATAATTGGTCAATCCTCCTTCAGTTCGAACACAAGTAACAACTCTAGTATACATATTTTTAAGGACTTGAATATAAGTTGTATCAATATCTTTCATCTCAAGAACTCTCCAAAGGATATCTTTTGGAACCTAATCATAAGTTTTTCTAAATCAATACAAAGCAAATGTAGATTCTCTTTATTATCTTTGAACTTATCAATCAAAATTCTCAATAAATGTATAGCTTCCATAGTAGACATGCCTGACGTAAATCCAAATTGATTTTGAGAAATATTTATAATATGTCTTAGTATATGTTCAATTACCCATTCCCATAATTTTAAAGTATGATGCATCAACTTAATTCCCATATAATTTGCACACTCTTTTGCATCCCCTTTATTCTTAAAATGGGGACCGAAATACTCTTCCTTGACTCTTTAGGCATCTTTTTAGTTTTTAAAATAATATTAAAGTGTTTAGTAAGCTAATAAACTCCCAAATCTCCTAAACATTTCCCTGCTTCAATTGAGATATCATCAGGCCCTACAGACTTTCCACCCTTAGTTTTTGTTGTAGCCTCCTCAAATAATTTTTTCCTAATGCGACGATAAAAATGAAATATTTAATATTTTTTAATGATATTCAGAAACTTCAAGAAAAAGTTTATCAAAATAATTCAACCACCTATGTTGAATATCTTTTTTCTAAGAAAAACACTTTTTTATTTTCATTTTTAATACACTTTACTTTAGTTAAATTATTACTTTTCATTTTTCTTTATTTGGCTAGTTTATACATATATTTTTCACCCTCCTTAGTATCTAATCTAATAAAAAGATCATTAAAAGAAGAATTTTTAGCGTCACATCTTATTTCAAAGATATATAAACCACATTTACCTTTGTTGATTGCTCTTAACCAATCTACCTTTGTTGCAGGAAGACAAATCTCTGATAGTGTCCTACTCACTCAAGAACTTTTCTATGATATTGACAGGCTATGCAGAGACGGCCAACCTCATGTATAAACTGGATGTCTCAAAAGCCTATGATACTATCAACTCGAAGTTTATTTTGGAAGTTCTTAAAGCAAGAGGCTTCAAAGACTCTTTCTGTCAGTTGATCCAAAGATGGCTCAAAATAATTCCTACACCATCCTGTTGAATGGTAATTCTCAAGGGCAGTTTCAATCTTCTAGAGGCATTAAAGAAGGGGACCCCCTCTCTGATATATCTTCATATTGGCAGTGGATTATCTTTCCAGGCTTCTTAATCAGCATTTCTCTGCAAAGGAGTACCTTAGATTTGCAAATAAAGCTAACTTTTCAATAAGCTATTTAAGTTATGCAGATGATATTATTTTATTTTCTAATGCTTCCAAACCTGCAGTGAAGAAGGTGTTTAGTCTGATGAATCCTTTCAACAAATCTCTGGTCTTTCTTGAATTCTAATAAATGCCAACATATCTTTAGCAAACAG